GTAAAAAACACCCCCCCCCCCCCCCCACGAGGTTCCCACTTTCTCATTCGGGGAACCGCCGTTTATCTGCGCACATCAGTATTTTGAAAGTTTTCAGCTGCGATGAAAAGAAATAGTGTCCTCCCTTCAATTATACAGGAGGCTTGAAAGATGATAGTCTCAGTACCTCGACCTGTCAGTCTCCCAGCCGCCGCTCGTTCCCAGCATCCACCCACACGCACAGAACAACAACCAATGATCCCCATTCAGTGATTTGCTGCCCCTGCCAGCCATGTGATTTCCATGTGAGAAAGAACTCTGCATCCCTGGGATGAAGCACAATTTTTCTGCATGGACCGATCAGATAAGTTGATGCGGAGTATAAGTAGGAAGTGTAAAATTATTAATTATTTTCAAATTAGAATCTGATTGAAACACGTTCATTCCTGGCTGTTCAGGTAAAATGCTGTTTGATTTCTTTGTCTTTTTCATCTGCACAGATTTAGAGAGATTTAGAGATTGGCTGAATCTCCAACTCAGATCTGTAAAAAAGGTTTACAAAAAGTCCATTCTTTTCTTTATCAGTCAAAAGTTTAGCAAAATTAATTCAAGCTAAACTTGTTACACAGCGATTTATGTTGGGAAATTGAAGGCTGAGGGTAGAAACAATACTACACTGACAATCTAAGACCATTTCACTAAATGTGTTTTCTCAGTGACGAAGCCCAGATGCAACCTCTTTGACAATTTTCATGTTTACAGTTTCCTTACTGCAGGTACTCCTCTCTGCCCCACAGACATTTGGTGATAATGAAGAAATAAACACTGTGATCAGTCACCCCCTACAAACTGTCTTAAACCCAACGGGCCCCTGAAATCAATTATACCAAACTTGAGGCTTTGCACAGTCTGAGTTTAAAAGGTGACTTTTCACAGACTCCGGCCCCTCCAACCTGCCAACCAAAAAGACATTCGACCCTTCGCCCTTGTTTGCTTTGTCAAATGCCAAAAAACAGCAAGGCCGTCAAGAGAGAGCTTGACGACGATGTCACAGAGTCTGTCAAAGACCTGCTTTCCAATGAGGATGCCTGCGATGATTCCTTCAAGAAGAGCTCGCTGATCGTCAGTAGCCCTGAAGGGGAAGGGAAAGTTGGAGGAAGGTGGCTCGGACAGCGAGGAGGAGGAGCGCCCAGCCTGGAACAGCAAGCTCCAGTACATCCTGGCCCAGGTTGGCTTCTCTGTAGGTCTGGGCAACGTCTGGAGGTTCCCCTACCTGTGTCAGAAGAATGGAGGGGGTGAGTCCTTGTCAGGAGTTTGCTTTAACAGTTTCACTTTGGGCATTTCACAGTGGAATTACATTATCGTGACAGTCATAAGACGTGCTTCCAGTAGCAATGGGCAACATTTATTAACTTGAAACAAATAAAATAACATAAGGACTAGAATAAAATTTCAATTATTTCATTTAGGATCAAGAAACTGATAGATGTTTCGAACTAACAGTTTGGGTAATAATTTTACAGTTTGCCTTTGTTTTCTCTTCCAAATAAGTTTGGTTGTAACCTGGACATGACTGGTCGCATCTCTGTCCTGTGTGACTTCTTTGCAGTGATATTGCCCCATCGTCACATCTCAAAAATTGACTTGCTGAGGATAATGTTAGTATCACCACCAGAAATGCCAGGTTCGAACCCAGAACCTTCTTGCTGTGAGGCAACAGGGCTGCTCCATACAGTAGCTATGTAAATACTAATGTAAATTCACAGTAACATTTCTAAGCAAAAAAAGTATTAGAAACTGGTCCATTGGGAGGAAAAGTTTGATATCAAGCTCTGACATTGTTCCAAGTTAAAAGTGGGGGGTGGTTGGGATAGTGAGTGAATTTCAGTGGATGTTAAGTCTCTGGGAAATAAATGTAAGTCAGTGTAATGTCCTCTGAAGTGATGGAAACAAGGCCATGTGTGCGTGAGAACGTAGCAGGGGGTGCAGCTCAAACCACGACCTCTGGCTTGACCCTGTCATGTTTTCAGCTCTGTTTTAAACAGTTCTGGTCGCCCTACTGTGTTCAGCTGTAATTAGATTAAAATGTCAGATCTGGGGCCGGAGCAGGTCTCTGGGTGTCTGTGAGTGTGTTCTTGTATGTGTGTGGGCTTTCTCCTCACCTTCCATTCACCCACACCAGGAACCTACGTGCGTTATGTGCTTTGCTCATATACATGTATACACATCATTGCCTTTCATGTCCTCACAGTGTATTCCCTTTTCTGGCAGCGTAGAGAGCACAGGCGACCTTTTGTGCTCGGGCTGCTGCAGTGCCCTACAACAGAGATTATATCAGATGATCTGTTGATTTTCTCAGTTAATTGATTACTAAAATACCAAAAAGTAATGAATTTTAATTTCTCAGAGCCCAGTGGTGATATAGATATTTAGTGTTTTATCAGAATAACTGTTCAAAATTCAGTGATATTCAGTCTACTGACATACAGAATATGAAGAAGAAAAACAACAACAAGATAAAGTAAAAGACAAATGTACACAAATCAGATGTTACTTTTTTCAGGTAGGCTGGCTTTTAAATAAAATGCCAGAGCCATGTACTCTGGTTAGATTCATAATCATGTTTATTTCCTCTACCTATTTTGCAAAGTAAGGTTAAAAAATCACACTGGGATCAATAATTCAACTTAAAGTCAGATTCAGGACATTTCTGTGCTTTTTTTAGCAACACAAACTTCATGTTTACATATGGAAAAGGATTAGGGCCACTGTAAATAAAAAATGTAGTTGAATTCTGACTTTTTTAAAACTCAGATTTATGAAAATAAAGTCAAAACTCAAGTCATTTGTTTTTACAGTGACCCTAATCTTCTTCTGTACAATGAGATGGAGTGGCTATGAGACTTACCAAGGAACTGTACTAATCCTTTGACTTTTTATCTAGTTGCATCAGTAACAATTTTACTTTGTCCTCTGACAACCTGCAACACTACTGAATGCTCATCAGCAAATATTAGCAGTCTAACATGCTAAACTAAGATTGTAAGCATCATACCAAACTATTAGCATGTTATTGTTAGCTTTTAGCCTGCCTACATCCAGCCCCACAGAGCAGCTACAGAGGCTGCAGACGCTTACTGTTTTTAATCTTGTATTTTTTACTTTAGTGACCAAAGGCTACTCTTTATGGCTTAAATGCCTTCGTGGCTTGTGATGAGTTTGTGCTGTTGTTACCTACTGAACCCACAAAATAAACTCTGTCCTTTCATTTGCCTGTGCCCCTTAGAGAGGTGGTGTACACCAGTGGCCTTGTTTTTACAGTTTAATTAACATGCTGTAATGCTTGAGCTTGCATTTTGAACTTAACAGTAACATTCCCAAGTCAGCACCTGTGCAATTTTTTAGATAGAGATGGAGTGTTTTGATCCTCAGCTCATTTCATTCAGTGACAAATGAAATAATATTTAAGGTAGTTTTGATATGAGTAATTTCCCATTACTTGCACCACATGCATGTCTCTTGCCTCTACATGTGATTCTGCCAAAACACACAGAAAGGTCACTCATCAGACTGTCTAAATCTTTATGTACTGTAGGTAAAGAGGACTGCAGAAGCTATTTTAGGAAAAGAAGAAATGCACTCTAATCAGACTGTTTGTGTTCTCAAACACAGCTACAGAGGCTGACAAAGGCTTTTAAAGACGTTGCAGACCAGTGGTGGTTTTGATGCTGACTGATGACAAAGACTATTCCCATTATGAACTGTGCTCTCACTGAACCAGAATTAGATGGTTAATATCAAAGACTGGTTAGTTCACTGTACAAACACAAACACACAAATTTTTATTTCCTGTCTATGACCACTCCCATCCCAGCCAAACCTGGGAGGGGCAGCAGGACTCAGGAAGGTCTGAATATATGTCCTGTCAGGTGAAACAATAAGCTCTGATGAAACAGGGGTGCAACTAATCTTAAACACAATACACCTTTCCTTGACATTTTGACACTGTCATCAACCCACTAGTGTTATCATTTCGAGTCAGGGTTGCGTCAGGAAGGGCATCCGGCATAAACACGTGCTAAATGTCAACATGCGAGTCGTCAGTGTGACGATTCGCTGTGGCGACCCCTCAATGGGAAAAGCCGAAAGTGACTTTCTCATCAGCCCACTAGTGTTGTCATTTGATGTTGTGGTTTAGCCCATGACAGGGGAAAATGTTGCAAAAGGGGGATTTAAAAACATGTTTTTTATTTATGTTTTTTTCAAGATAATTGTAGTTGTTGCACCAAAAATATAACTTCAGAAAGTGTTTTCTAAAAAGAACTGGCAGCTTTTTCGATCAGTGGCTGTGCAATTTTGAAATGATGCAATACTTTTGAAGAGGTTTCTGTGGCTGAGGGTCCCGAACTCTTCAACACACACAGGAACTTTGATTTCACATGAGAAGAAAAACCTCCACACTACACTGTACATACTTCACAATGCCCCAGCTGTAAGAGAAGAATAAAGGGCACATTATTATAAAATTTGATGCCACCAAACATATGTAACCACCAACCAGGTTTCCTTCCTAGCAGCCTCACCTGGATTCCACAGCACCACACTATTACAGCCTGTCTTAATGTTAGTCATCCAGCCTTAAACCTTAATTCTAGAGATAAATGCCATCTTTGTCACATGCCCCTAAGTAAACCCACTGTAATTTAGGTAATTTCAGACTTTAGTGTCTTTCCTGGTTTCCGGAATTATTTGACTGCACCACACCACAGAGGAGGTGGAGACAGACTGATGCAGCTCAGCAGATGTGTGCATAGCAATTTAAGTGTGTGTGTGTGTAAGATAAGGAGACAGATAACATTAAAGAGGCTGCTCTGTGTTTTATAGTATGTGTGTTTAGGCAAAGGTGTTACTTTCAGGGGAACACTGGGTTCAAATCTAAGAGGTTGTTGTATTTGTGAGTTTGTACACAGTATGTGGCAGATACAGAGGTATAGCTGTGCTCATGTACTTATAGGCTGCTTTCAGGAACTGAAGTGCTGCCTCTTCACAGCCAGACACACTTTCCCCTCCTTCATCTAACCTGCTGTCTGTGTTGTTTGGACTGGCAGGAGCGTACCTGGTGCCCTATCTGATTCTGCTGATATTGATTGGCATCCCGCTGTTCTTCTTGGAGCTCGCCGTAGGACAGCGGATCCGCAGGGGCAGCATCGGGGTGTGGAACTACATCAGCCCTCGGCTGGGGGGCATTGGCTTCGCTAGCTGTGTGGTGAGCCTGACGCTGGGGTCTGCTTCGCCTGAACCAGAACACATCCATACAGTGTAGTAGCAGTATGACACATGGACAACAGCATGGTTGAAGGGAGAGTAATGCCAGTGTAATGATTGGAAAATAACTCACAGTAGTATTTTAAAAAATAAAGGGTTTCATTCTGTAATGTTTTCAAACTGGATCAAGGAAAATATTGTTCAGAGGAAATACATTAAGAATGATTTAAAAACAGGTAAATCAAATCTGAAGGTTTGCTTTAAGATTATTAGATAAATCATCTTAAAATTAAACATCAAGTTAATTTTTGGGATGTACTATAAGTTAAAAATAGTACAACAGTATGAAACATTAACATCATTTATAACATCTCTGGTGTCTCATAAATCTGGAGAAAAATTATCTGGAATACAGGAAATGATGTGATTTCCAGCAGCAACTACAATAGTTTTTCATTAATAATTTAAAAAAACTGTACAAGTACCATACGGAGTACCTCAAAAAATCTGTATCTGGCAAATTTAAACAGAAAGTAGTCCTCATCTAAAAAGTCTCCTCTCGTAACAAGACAAAAACTGAGATACTCAATATGTGCAGATGAGTTACACCACTGATTAAAAAAAAAATCCTGTTCTCTGTTCCTGGTTTTGTCTCTCTGATGTTAACTTGCCTCTGTTGCCTGTAGGTGTGTTTCTTTGTGGCGCTCTACTACAATGTCATCATTGGTTGGAGTCTCTTCTACTTCTCCCAGTCCTTCCAGCAACCTCTGCCATGGCATGAGTGTCCACTCATCAAAAACAAGACCAGCACATGTAAGACACAATCACAGTCTGACAAATTTGGTCAGATTTGGTGGCAGTCCTACTTTTAACTCCCTTTGGAAGGCTTGCAGTCACTTATAGTGTTTGTTGTGTCAGCTACACTGACACTACAGTTAATTGTACCTGGTAATGGTCTGTCTGTAGATGTGGTGCCGGAGTGTGAGAAGAGCTCGGCCACCACCTACTACTGGTACCGTGAGGCCCTGGATATCACTGACAGCATCTCTGAGAGCGGAGGACTCAACTGGAAAATGACGGTGTGCCTGCTGGCTGCCTGGGCCATTGTTTGCCTTGCCATGATCAAGGGAATCCAGTCTTCTGGGAAGGTATGGAAAATTTGGTTCTCTGTGCCCTTGCTCTTGCACCACTTTAATAAAGGTAGTTTAACTTTTAGGGCATGAGGCAGAGGACATAGTTTGTAAGAAGAGGAAGAGAATGGAGGAAAACTACTGGTGCCCTGTAGTCCTGGCAGCTTGGCCTATATATAACTCTGTACCCTGAAAAACAGGGAACAGTGTCACAAACAAAAGGCCATGTCTTGTGCAAGTGTGTTAAAAAAAATCCTCTCACACATAATTAGCTCACTTTAAGGTGGAGACTTACAGAGTGCAACATGCATCGATGCCTGGTATAAAGAAACTGTGGAGTGAGCACTGTAAATTGACTTCACAAATTTTTCTAATGATATCATCTCAGATATGATCACGGGAGCTCATGTGATCTTGTGTCTGAGTCAGCTTTAGCTTAGTGCAGCAGAGCCGAGAGCAGCATACATCTGTAAGGATTAGCCCACCGGCTAGAGGTAACAAACTCACCCAGCTCCTCTTCTCTTCTTACAGGTGATCTTTATCATTCCACACTGTCTCATATCATATGACAAGCATTACCCCGTGTGCTCCCAAAGTCAGAGTCAAGTCTCAGCTAACTGAAAAAACGGTCACACGTTTTAATCTTCCTACAAAAAGCTTTGATGTGGAGGTCATTTGACTTTGGTATTATCCCCACTTCTTAAATCAGGCATGGGCTGGGTTACAACAAACATTCATTTAAAAGAGGGGTCTTTGAAATAGTGCCAAACCTGTGGAGAATTAACGCCCAGCTGCAGCTTTGTTGGACTTTTTAGCCTCTTTTCACTCCTGTTATTTTGATTTTACACAGTGTGTGACTGACATTGTGAATTTTGGCCAGTCTCCTGGATCCGTTTTGTTGCAATACCATAAATGTAGTGAATACATGGGCCTATATTTTTATTTTAATATTTTAAAACCAATTATGTTAACCCTTTGTAAATTTACATGCAAATAAATTGTATTATGTAGATAAATAATAAATCATTTGGCACATTTCTGAGACTAAGATTTTCAAGGGGCCCATGCTGGTGAAGAAAGTGGAACATGTAACAGCTAAAGATCCAGGTATTTTCCTCAGGTCTCTGTGGACACCAAACCAGAGCTGAAAAGAAAACAGGATTTATCAAGTAGCAAAGGCCACAGATAAAACCAGATGGATAACGATAATAATAATAATAAACAAAATGTAGCTACACACACATACATACACACAAAGAATGATTAAAAAATGTTCTACTGAAAAAGGACAAATACAAGCACAGCACAAGAAGAAAGATAAAAGATGGAAGGCTTCAACAACACCTCAGCCTTTGCATCAGTGATTTGCAAATAACTCAAATCATACAAAAGTCAGCTTTAGCCAAAGGGCCGTCCTCCAGCCACCTGGCATGTCTGGACGGCCTTTGGAGTTGGCCAAAGCAGAAACGGCTGTGAAGTCTCCCTGTAGTTTGAAGTTTAATGGCCGCTGTGGTGTACAAAAGAAGAAGCCTTTTCTAAGGAATATCCCTACAGAGTTGTTCGTGTGTGTGGGGGCATGAAAGGGATCATGCTGTTTTTGGTTACCATGGTTATATGCACAGTTTGGGCTGGATTGTCAAATGTGTGGCAAAAAGAGGGGCATGAATAATTTTGGCCTATGTTTGGACAGAGAGAGCGGACATGTGAGGGGTTTAGTAAACTAATGGTGAGATTCGCTGAAAGTATCCAAAGGTGCTGAACAACAAAATAAAGTTTTTTTTAATCTCTTATATGTAAAATAGCCTGAGATTACTGACACTGAATAATCTCAACAATTACGTCAGTCTGTCATTGTGGGAAAACTTTTTTTAAAACTTTCTCTATCTGTTCATGAAGATAACAGCGTCATTGTCAGAATATGACCTTCACATGAAGCACATGTTATCTGCCAGCACACAGGACCTTTTCTAATAAAAGTGTATTTTTGAGAGTACATAAATCTGAGTTTATCATACAAACATCTTTGTGCTCACCAAGGCCACAACGGCATTCTTCAACAAGAGCACAGTCTGGAAGCTTTAATCAGAAAAGTGCCCCTGTGACCCTATTCAGGAATAAGCGGTACAGATGATGGATGGATGGATCTTCCATTTATTTGAAAAGACATTTAAAAGCTTTCTGCAGCTAACTGTTTCTGTGCCTTATCAAGAGACCAGACTTTAAGACATTTCTTTAATAATGAAAAGAAGAGTAACTTGTGGCCACTATAGCATGATTTCATGCAGAGATAGAACTTTTGTGTGTATATATATATATATATATATATGTATGTATGTATACATACACACACATTATCTTCAAACAAAGCTCAGACAAACACCTCAGACTCAGTATGACAAGAAAACTCATTCTGCCTCCAATCACTCACTGAAAATTGTTAAATATATGAGCAAATCCTGCTTTAGTGTACACGATCCCGTTCCCTTTGAGATGAGACATTACATCGTCTCCTTCAAAGCTCCATTTGGACCACCACATAGGAGAGGCAAGGTCTCTGAATCACCAACTGTGAAATATGACTCAATCCCAAAACATCTCCCAGTGTGTGCACCCACACCCCACTGCTAGACCTGTAAACCTACACATTGCAGGTAGCAGCTGACTCAGGCCTTCAGTCCTGCTTTCAGTCTTTCACAGCCAGCCACCTTGTCTACACTAAGAAGGCCTCTGCTTAATAATGTGCAGTGCTGAGCAAAAAAAATATGTGAGGCCCGATGTCATACTAACGCAGTGATGGGACAAAGAGGCTTAAACGGGCCCAGCGGCTACTGGCTCTGGCCTGGGACCCTGCTGATATTGCTGCACTTGTATATGTGGTCATGAATACTTTAAAATTGCTTTTTATAAGTCATAATTATCATAGTCACAAAAAAGAAAATGCTGTCCAAATGAATAGCAATATACTTATGTCATGGCTACTCATTAATCTACAAACCCACGATAAGTGGCACTGAGAGAGACATAATGTACATTACTTGAGTATGTGCTGAACTAGGTCAGTAAAAAACATAGTTATCATCCAGCTCTGTTTATTTTTTAAGCTCTTTTTATCCTTATCACTTCGGAGAGTTTCACCTCTAATTGTGATTTCAATTATACCTCCATTGTTTAAGAAACAATGTGCACACTCAGGGAAGAGGGATGTGGGATCTTGAAATATACATAGTGACTTTTCTGAAGCACAAGCTGCCTGCAGAAGTCTGGTACTTTAACATAAATCTAATTGCTTGCAGGTGATGTATTTCAGCTCCCTGTTTCCATACCTTGTGCTGATTTGCTTCCTGGTTCGGTCTCTGCTCCTGAGGGGCTCTGTAGATGGGATTCGACACATGTTCACACCCAAGGTAAGGCACATTTCAAGCCAACATTTCTCTAAACTGTTTAAACTAGAGCTACTTTACTGTTTCGAGTCAAATGAAGCCACCTGACAAACACTCACTTGTTTTTCCTACACTAAATATTCCGTGTTAAATTCAGTCCACTCACTGTATGAAGAAGGTGCCTAAACTCACAAAATTAACTCTGTATTGTAACAGGCCAGATCCTCAGCAGCAACAAGCCAATGGCGTTTCAGGCCATGCAATCATATCACCATGGAAACAGGAGTCACTGAGGCTTTATGTAACCGACCAGCCAAAGACGCTCACTCGCAGCAGAGCGTGTCTGTCTCGTCTGGTGTGTCTGCTTTGTCTCGTCGGCCGGCACGTTGCGTCGTCAGACATTCAGTCACCGTTGTCCGTGTACCAGTGGACATCAAAGTCCTGCTGCCAGCTTGTCCTGCTTAGTGCTCATATTAGTTGGGGACCTTTGTAAAAGAAAAGTCCCACATGGAACCTGTCAAGACACCAACTGTCATTTGGCAGGATGCTGCACTGAGAGCCTGCCTAATACAGACAAAAAAAATAATAGAATCTGATTGGCCATCCCCGCAAAGTCAAAATGTGATGCTTGTTAGGATTAATGAAACGTCATTGGCGTGACAGCATTACTGTACTAGTATTACTTCCTACACAACTGATGCAAATAAGTTTTTGGATGTACTTTTCTCAAAGTATTAATGAATGAAAAATGAAAAACAATAGCAAATTGTTGCCTTAACATTTTTCTAGTGCTTTATAATTGATATTGGTCAAATAAATTTTATCTTATATCATGCATGCAGCATGATATTTGCATTAATATCCTCTACTGTGTTGTGGAGTATCTGGCATGATTCACTTCATTTGGAGGCTAAGGCGAACTTGCTAGCTTTACCCAAAGTTAGCAAAAGAAAGCACTGTGTGTCTCTTTACATAAAATTAACGCTATGTCTTTTTCTTTCATAGAACTACGGATGTAATCATCTTTCAGAACATTAGGTTCTTCTGAAGATTTTCTTGTTCATTATATCATATTTGGTCATGTAGTAGAAGGTTTACAGTATTTAGACACTGTGAAAAGGCATCTGTGAAAAATCAGTATACATGAACATGTCATCGTTCAGTAGTTTGCAGGATTTTGTTTCACTCTCAGTAATACAGTGGCCCTGAACTGAATGCAGACTGTGTTACTGATCTAACCCAGATCTGTCTTCTGTTGTCCATCTGTGTTCTGCTTTCAGCTAGAGATCATGTTGGAGGCCAAGGTGTGGCGAGAGGCAGCCACGCAGGTTTTCTTCGCGCTGGGCCTCGGCTTTGGTGGCGTCATCGCCTTCTCCAGCTACAACAAGCGGGACAACAACTGTCATTTTGATGCGGTCTTGGTGTCTTTTATCAATTTCTTCACCTCCGTGCTGGCCACCCTGGTGGTGTTTGCTGTGCTGGGCTTCAAAGCCAACATCATGAACAGCAAATGCATTGCACTGTGAGTCCAAGTGTCCTCTCACATTTAGAGGTTTCTAGAATGCGTTTGTGTTTTCTGGAGATCACCAAAGACAAGATCTGAAAGTTCATGTGTAACTCAGAGTCAAATGGTGTCTGTGGATTTTTGAAAAACAAAGTGTGTTTGTTCTCTACTCTAGACATTGGAAGTAAAGTGTAAAGTTCAACTTAAACTTTTATCTTGGGATTGTTTACTTATAAGTAACTTCTGCCCATTTTTTTTAGGAACACCAATAAGATTGCTGCATTGCTGGGGAATGGCATTGAAGCGAGCCTGATCCCCCACCACATTAACCTTACTCAGGTTAGTCAGATCAGTGCTGAGGACTACCATCAGATGATAGGAGTGATCAAAGGGGTGAAGGAGGATGATTTCCAGACACTGGGACTGCAATCCTGCAGCATTGAGGATGAGCTCAACAAGGTACTTGCAAAAACAAAAACTGTAATGGGCTCAAACTGCACGTCCTTACATATGTATAAATACATGGGATTTTGGGGATTCACTCAAGACCATGGCTACAGATTTTTTACCTCTTCTTCTTCCTCCCCTCCCCCAGGCAGTCCAAGGCACAGGCTTGGCCTTCATTGCCTTCACTGAGGCGATGACCCACTTCCCAGCCTCACCCTTCTGGTCCGTCATGTTCTTCCTCATGCTGGTTAACCTCGGCCTCGGCAGCATGTTCGGCACCATCGAGGGGATCCTCACTCCGCTGATAGATACTTTCAAAGTCCGAAAGGAATTTCTTACAGGTTAGAGATGACTGCACATTCTCTGCACAAAACGGTGACTAAAGCTCAAATGTAGTTTAGATGAAAACATTTTCTTAAAACTGAGGGGCAATCTTACTATTTTTCATACTTAGATACAGTCAAACAGTTTTTTATGTCTCCAATCTGGGGTAGGTATCTTGTAGAGAGACTGTGATTGTGACTATTAGTCATCTAGGTCCCAACGAGGATTGCAAACTTGCCAACTTCTCCAAAGATAGGGTTATCTAATAATAATTAACTTTATATATCATTGTATTTATTAAGTTGCCAGAAGTTAGATTCCAGTCTATTTCAGGTGTATAAAAGCCCATATGTTCCCGGTATTAAGTTATTCCTTCAGGTGTATATGGGAAGAAGCATTTCAGAAAATTTCCACCAACAGCGGTGGCTGCTACACACAGTAAACAGATGTGGTGGTTTGACAGCTTTAAATGGGCCCCACTCTACTTACACATACACTGTTTTAGTTCAGTTTATCTCTCCCCCTCTTAATTGTGTGTTAGGTGGAGGATAATGACAGTAATTCATGGTACACTGTCAAATGCCCTAACATCTACTTTACTAACTATGATAAAATGCAGTTTCCATATAAAAGTTCAATCTCCTGCGTGTATTGCTCAAATGTTTTCAAAACTTTTTCAGCTGTTTTTAACACTTTTTTTTTTACAAAGTTGGAGCTATCACAGTCCATCCTCATCCAACAACTCTGTGTAGTGCAATGTATAGTAACTGACAACCTACATCTCGCCTGCAGTGGGATGCTGTGTACTGGCCTTCTCCATCGGTCTCCTGTTTGTTCAGCGATCAGGGAACTACTTCGTGGCCATGTTTGACGACTACTCGGCTACCTTGCCTCTGCTCATTGTGGTCATACTGGAGAACGTGGCGATTGCATGGTTCTACGGGATTGATAAGTAAGAATGTGTCGTCATGGGCAACCTTTTGTGAATTACTCCTCAGTAACAACACATTCCCATTCATAATAACTAGACTATGCCCCCAACAGTGCAGAATCCAACCTTTAATGGCCATTTAAGTCTTTAAACTAATCAGAAAAAACAGATATTTTATTCTAAGCTATTTTTATTTGGAAGTCTAGACACGAAATATTGTGTCAAATAAATTACAGGACCACTTTTCATACTGTATTTTCTGGTAGTTTTGATCATTACTCGACAAAAAGGAAAAATACTGCATCCACATTTGTATTCTGCATTTTTAGCTGTTTTGTTTGAGAAGTGTATGATAATAATGATTTATATTCTAAATCTAAAATGATTATTTTATACATATATACACATGTATGTTGCAAATAAGCCACATAATTTATATTTATTCACAGCCTGACTTAAGGGGACAAGAGAGTCTATTTTTGGAACCTCTAAGTTGGTGCTTTGTTTGAATGAAGCCATAAAGATAAAATAGAAACAAGATACAAAGGCTAACGGGTTCATAAAATGGAAACATAGCACCATGGTGAATTCTTTACTACAAACCAACTGATCTCACCTCCTGCTGTTTTGCTGCTGCCGCTCTCTCAGGTTCTTTGAAGACCTGAAGGACATGCTAGGCTTTACACCGTACCGCTTCTACTACTACATGTGGAAGTACATTACCCCCATCCTGCTACTGGTCCTCATGTGCTCCAGCTTCATCCAGCTGATCATGACGCCGCCCAGTTACAGCGCCTGGATAGAGGAAGAAGTGAGTCAATGTCTTGGCCTTATCCTCTGTGGGACCAGGGTGTGGTGTGGGGTGGAAGTTCTCCTATTTGGTCAACCTGGAACAAGCAAATTAGGGGGTTCAAAGCAAATGAGGCTAGAGCTAAAAACTCAAAGAAAAAGGCAATGTGTTTAGTGATAAACATGTTTAAGTGTCTTTTAACCCTTGGGATTTGTAGTCTACCATGCTGACATTGAAGCACCTGTTTGATCAAATCCAGCGAAAACTAAAGTCACTTAAAAACCTTTAGTAAGTGAAGCACAGGCCACATGAGACAAAGTGACCCTTCATGTACTCCTTAATTTGTCCCGTGAGGATAATACTCACTAAAGCAGTAGCAGAACTATGTTTCACTGTGAGGTGGATTTACTTTACCTTACCTGAATGAAGTGCAAACTCATTCTATGCTTTCAAGTAGATACCTGAAAGAGAGAGGTGAGAGCACGGGCACAACAAACAAATGTCTTTTTGATTAATCAAATGATGAACTGTGTAAAATGTCCATCACAGTCACCCAGGTGACATCTTCATTTTGCTTGTTTTGTCCAACCGGTACTCTAAAGACACATCATTCATGCCATCAGTGTATCCTCCATATTTAGCACAACTTCCTGTTTTTCTCGTGTTTCATCCAGGCAAAAGAGCAGACCTTGCCTTTCCCTCTGTGGGCCATCGTGGTCTGCATCTCCCTGGTGGTGGTGGCCATCATGCCTGTGCCAGTTGTCTTTGGCCTGCGCTACTTCAACATCATTGATGAGAACACCAGTGGTCTTTCCACTGTTTCTTATAAGAAGGGCCGCATCATTAAGGAGACCGCACGGCCAGGGGAGGACGATGACACCAGCCTGATCCAAGGCAAGTCTCCCAGCGAAGCGCCCTCACCAATGCCTGGGAACAGCATCTACCGCAAGCAGAGTGGCAGTGGCCCAGATGCAGACACGGCACCCAATGGCCGTTATGGTATTGGTTACTTGATGGCCGACATGCCGGATATGCCCAAGTCGGACTTATAGATTGACTAATAGTAAGCTCGGCCCAGCTGCCGCGGCTGGCCACTCTGCCCCTTCAACCCTCTGTGTGCGTCTAGTCGGCTGTATCATCGATGTATACTTCACTTGTACTGTATATTTTTGGTAGAGATCATAGCTGCTCTCTATTTGTCGTCACTGAACCTTATATGACTGTTTACCTTAAAAAAGGTGTGGGAATAAATGTCATTCTTGTCTGACTCATCCCCCATTTACTTGAAGGCGTCCCAAATTCATATCTGTACCTCCTGCTCCCTTCAGCCTTTGCCCCCTCCTCCTTGCAGATCCCAGGAGAGAACAGGTGTAAGCAATAAGGTGGACGCTCCACCAGGCCTACTTGAACAAGGATCTGCAAAGAGGAGTCTACAAAGCAGCAGGTCAGGGGTCAAGAGGTCATCCTGGGACTGTGCCTGTGGGCATTGCAAATCAGCTCCTGCTATTAAAAATGGCTGTGTACATTATGATCCCTAACTGCTGGCCGATAAGATTACTGACATTGTAATTGCTCTGGCTGCTGAAACGATGCAACAGTGAACAGGTTTTTCTTGGAGAAAGTTTAGGTCAACCTAGCTGAAACAGTGAGAAGACGGCCAAAACCACTCCCATGATTGTTTGAGACTAAAGTGTGCCTAACTAATTTATATTTGTTTATAGAATACATGGTGGACACTGTATATTTAAGGTATTCTGTAAATATAATATAAATATTATAAATATATTTATCTTGATAGTTTGGATATCAGAACAGTGTTTTTAAGGTTCAGACGTACTGCTAACCCTTAACTCATCTATTTGTTTTTTACTAATGTGCTGTTTGTGTTGGCGAGGACCGAGTTCTCCTTGTAAATAATTTTTCCATGAAATGGCTTCAATGCAATGTCTTTTTTCCCCACATCAAGATTAAAGATCAAATACGGTCAATGCCCCTGAAGTGGTGTATGTGATCTTTTCATCTGTCTGTCTGTTTAAATGGCACTCAGGCCACATTTCCAATGACTCAGGTCGTTTCCAAAATGTCGGTTTTCCTCTGAAATGTGAAAAATGCTATAAATAATGCAAATAGGTATTTACAAACACCAAGTACTTAATGTAAAGACTCAGCAAAGAATCTTTGTATATAAAAATTAATTTACATACCTTTACTTTCTATATAAAAATGATTACACTTCCGCTTGTCTCCTCTCCACCATGACCTTTTGGTAAATAAGGTCTGACACAAACATACAGACAGAACCATGACAGTACATAAAATAGTATTTATTGACCTGTTCTGTTTGACACCATCACAATTTATGAATTTATATAACATGACATTAAAATGTACACAGCAGGCAACACTCTGAGAAGTCCTGTGCACTGTTTACTGATGTGGAGTGACTGAGCTCTCTGGTAAACACACACAGACACAAGATTAAATAATCAAATACACACATAGGATGGCTTTTTAAGCTTTGGCTTTCTTTTTTCTAAACAAACAAACAAACATCCGTATTTGCTGGGACCATGAGGTCTTCCTGAACATCTGCACTGCTCTCAGCCTTGGAAAAAAAAATATTTGTCCACCTGTTTCCTTTTAGGAAAATATCACCACAAAAATAACAAAGGCTGTCTTCATCTGACAAAACATGGTGCATTATAAGTGTGAATCTTCCAAAAAAACAAATTAACTAACTAACTAACAAGCAAACAAACAAACAGGTAACACTTTATTTTTACAGGTTTGCAAATTCTAGCTTATTTCCTAAATAATTTCCTCAGACGTTTCCTGGAAGGAACCATATAATTTTGCACCATTTATAGGTAAAATTAGGGAGCGATCAGTTGGTACACCGCCAGTTAGCTTTAAATGCTAAGCTAACACAAACTAGAGGCTTTTATTCAGAGGACAGAAGGTGAACTACACATAAAAAAATGTTACATTTGTCCACAAACAACCACCTGATTCAGCATAAATCTGAAAGCCAATAACAAACTCAACACAACTCAGTTGTCTGACTAAAATATATAAATAAAGGAAATCAGTCTTAGAACTTTGTCCCTGTCTTTCTGTGATTAATACCAAACTACATGCTTTAGAAATAGCAGACCTATAAAAAGAAGTGTTACCAAAAACAATTTATTTCTAGCATCAGATTCTTTTGATCTGATTTACTGTCATGTGGTCCCCTCACTAGCTCTTGGTCTTCCTGGGTCAGTGTACTGAGAAGTACAGTGCATATGGTAAAACGTTCCCTTCAGCGTGCACTGCTGAAACGTCCATGTGCTGGAGAGCTGATCCCTTTTCGATGCACTTCTAATTGAAAATAAAATGGTATTGTTAATACTACCACCAGCACAACTAGTAGTGCTGCTGCTACTAGGTAGGGCTCGGAGGTATGACTGATACAATATGGCAAATTTGTTCATGAATGACAGAATCACTGTTCTGCTCTATGTAGGTACAAACTTTACATGTTACTTTAATAACCACTTTGTTTTCATTTGCTCAGAATCATTAATTTGGTTGGATGGATGCAGAAGATACAGTGAAGGAAATAAAAAGGCAATAATGACTCGCAACAAGTGGACCAACAAGCAGAGAGTATGACAAGGTTTTCTAATGAAAGCAGATAAGACTAAAAAATGTGACATTTAAATAGGGGCTGTACATAAGGCACCAGGAAAGTGAAGGTCACACATGTAGAGGTAAAGTGCAAATGTTTAGCCACCCATTCGTATGAGTAGGGCTGATACAGCCAATAAGAAAGTCCAGCGTATCCTCCTGATGACACCTGCAGCCCATACTACTGCTGCATCCTTGCAACCCTGAAAACTCGGCTTTAAATTATAAATAAGTTTCTGTAACATTCAATAGAATATAAGCAAAGTGCTGTGTGGGTGTGGTTTGATCAGATTTGACTGACAGTGACCAAACATTTGCCCTTACACAACACCAGATTACACAATGAAATGTGGCCATGTGCTCTTCAGTAATGTGAGATTTCACTCATCACCATTAACTGCTACTTTTAATATTTGGGTTATATTGTGTAGCATTAGGACATGAACTGAAAAGCAGGGAGTTAAGGGAATAAACCAAACCTGTACAAACCTGTGGACTCAGTTGTGATGGAGCTGCTCTCTCATTCTGGCTGCAATCTGCTCTCTCTTCTCGCAGTGTCTGTTCAGGTCTTTGACCTCCATCGACAACCTGCTGCTCCACACCATCACAACCGACTCCTCGTCTGAGAACGGGGACAAACACGCACTTTAGACCACCACAGAGAAGCTCACACAGCGAGACAGCTGCTTTCATACAGTGTGGGACAAACAATAAAGTCAGACTCACCAAACCGATCCTTGCATTGTGGGCGTCTTCTGCCCAAAACCAGCACCACATGCTTCGGGTTTAATGTTCCTATGCATGAAAAAAATGCTGTTACACTTGAGTTTGTGGAGAAAGGGTGGTATGGAAACTGCATTTAATTATGTGAGGATCACATATTTAAAAAGCCCAAAAAGTTTCAGAATAAAAAAAGAAAAACAATCTAAAAAAAGTGAACAAACTGTAAACAGCATGCTGTGACATCTCTGCCCACAAACACCCCGGCAGAGCATGAAACAAAAACAAGAGGAAAAACACAGATGTTTAAAACACTTTTATTGATTCAGCTTCCTTTCTTTTTTTTATTCCATTTGTCATGAGCTGTTGCATACTGTATACTTTTTACTTAGTCTAAGCTCATTTAGTTCAAGAAAATAGCTGCTTCTCCATAAAACCAGAAGAAAATCACAAGATGTACCCAAGAATTCTGAAATATTGAAGCTGTGGAACAAAATGTAAACTAAATGATGCAGAGTTTGCAGGAAACATCCTTTGACCTTAGTTACCAAAAGACACTTGAGCTGCCTTATGTCCTGCGATTATTAGAATCCCATACTAAACAGAATTACTTATGCTAATTAGGTTGAATGTAAGGGTAAGGACTGCATTAATTAGAGAAATCCCTCTGTATTAAGATGCATTACATAACATGTGGACACTGTACCTGCTGTTTGTTTCCCAGAAAGCCACATTTATGCAACATGGTGCTCCAAAATCCACTGACATTATAAAGTATGTAAGGTGTGCCTGTGTCGTTTTGTCATGACAAAGTGCATCTGTTGTTGTTCTCATGATGAGGAGCCAGACACACACACACACACACACACACACACACACACACACATCTAAACAACTTATAATGAACTGCACATGTGGACCAACCTATGGATGCAGAGGTGATGTAGCGGATGGAACTGCAGCGGGGGCTGATGACCTGCAGCGTCTGGTGTTTGGAGAGCTCCAGCAGCAGCAAGTGGCCCCCTCTAGTGCCGACCCAGAGAGCTGCAGCACTCTGCAGCAAAAGGGCCTTGACTCTGGCCCAGGGGGGAGGAG